ATTACATTAATTATATTATTTTAATATTAAATATATATATATATATATATATATATATATATATATATATGAAATATATATATAATTGTATTTATGCATTTTATTTATGTACAATCAAATTGTACATGCAGAAATCAATTATAATATGCTTATTTTCAACTTTGGGTGTGACCCAGTTCATGTAGCATTAGTAGTAATATTAGAACCATTCTAACATTACAAGCAATAAGTGACATCTAACAATATATCATTGTCATATAAGTTACAAGAAGTCCTGATTCGTCATAATATCTTCGTAACTAACTCCTATATGTATTATATCCTTTTATCATTTATATGTAAAATAGAAACAAGTCTTGGAATAGTCACACTTATATAACCCATCTAATGTTTCTTGATATTTAGAGTAGAATACAATAAACGAACAACCTGTGATATCTCATATCAACTTGTTCAAGCATGGTCATGCATTTATAATCGCACTCAATCAAGTGGTTTGTGATATAATTCATATTATGTAAGAATGATAAATCTTATCTTGATCATCCACATCCCACTACCTATATTGTAATTTGTTCGACATCAATCTTTATAATGCGACCAATTATGTAGCATGTTTAACTGTATTAGAATATATGACTATATTTGTTGAAATAGTAATGATCTCAAGTCTATGGACTATACATATAATTAGTACCATGAGCAATGTTGTGACTGTCACATAATAATACAAGACATATGTTCATAGTGGGTCAATCCAATATGTCGTTCTTTAACAACATACTCATGTTTGATTTTGACGTCTCTATGTCAATCACAACTCGTTGTCATCAATCTACTATATGTTAGCCTTGAACGTATTATTATTGTCCATGTCCATAATAATACAGGACTAAAGATATTTTAATAACAATCATATTATTATATGGACTTCATTATCTTTCAATTTATTTAAGACACAGAAGTATAACTGAAAAACAATGATGTCAATGTTTTTATTCAATAAACACAGTAAACAAAGTATATTAGTACAATTATTTCATGACTGGTCTTTGGGCAAATTCTAATAGAAATATATATATCTTATATGATTAGAGAAAGTCAAAAATTTAGAATAAATTCGTATTATAATACTATAAATAATTACAATTAAATTTGTATAGAAACTTGAACAACTCGACTCGAATTTCTTAAATTCGACTCGACTCAGAAAAATTTCAAGTTAAGTTAGAGTTATAAAATGTGACTCGTCAACTCGAATTTTTTTTTACTCGAATCGATCCAATGCTCACCCCTAATAATAGCTTGTAATAAATAATAATGGGCACTCTCATATTGCTAGACTAATTAAATGGCATTAAGATGGGTGAAAGTTAATACCGACTATATAGTTCGAGGTAATGATCTTGTGGTGGTGTTCTCTGTGATGAACACAGGTAATTAGATCTTTGGGTTCTTATAGAGTTAAGAAAATACTCGATGATCATGGTACAACTTCAGGAAAAATAATGTATCATAAAGTCATAGAGAATGTACCATAAAGACAGAAGAAGACGTGTTATAAAGGTATAATTGTTAAAAATAAAAACAAGAAAGATAAAATAAAGATACGATTTAATAAAGTAAAGGAAAAATAATGGATACCGAAAGTCGATGACCAGCACCAAAATTAGTGTCGCCACCGATTACAAAGATAAAAAAGAATAAAAAAACAAATGACGACTAAAGAAAAAAAGAAAGACAAACCCTAAATATAAAATAAGTCTTTTTTTATTTACCTTTCTCTTTCAATAAAATTAATACTCAAATATTTTATTACATTCATCCAATCATACTTTTAAAAAATAATATAGATATAATATTATTGTTGATCTATACATTATACATACCTTAAATGTCTGATGAAGAAAATTTATTAAACTAGACTTTGGAAGAAACTAAGAGACATCTACCCTTTGGAGCTTGTATTATTTCATTATAAAGTTTGATTTCATTATTTTCAAGTTTTTGCGACACTTTTTGATGATGTTCTCGTTTTCAATAGGTGTAATATTAAAATCAACTTTAAGTATTTATTAAAAAAATTATTTTGGTCTTTATTTTTTATTTTGAAATATTTTAGCTTTCAACGTTTTATTTTGAAATAAAAACGTCATTCTATAGATGTAAATCATTAATTAACACTTGATTAACGCTCTAAATAAAGATATTTTATCCTAAAATGAAACGTTGAGGGCTAAAATACTTCAGAAAAAATGAATAATGGTCAAAGTGACTATTCCATCTAATATTAAGGACTCTTTTATCTTAAAATAAAACATTAAGAAATAAAATACTTAAAAAAATAAAATTATAATTTTGATAAACATTATGGATTGATTTTGACGTTAGGCCTTTACAATACTATCATGGATTCGTTCTTTAGCTAATTAGCATCTTGCTCGCTTTATAAAATCCGTTTCTTAATTTTCTTAGTTCAAAATTCCTATTTATTTAACAAATAAAATTAACACCTAAAAAAATTATAATTATCTAGTACTAAATTTGTTCCACCCAAAATAATCTTATAATTTAACATCCAAGTGGATTCCAAGGTTAACTTCTTTAATGAAACCATCAATGCTTTTCAAATGACAATGTATCCATATATATATATATATATATAATAAAATATCAACTATTATCCCTAACTTCATAATAGCACAAATGAATAAAGATGTTACATTATATATATATTTTCTCTTTTTTCTTCCATTCCTATAATCATCATTTAAGTGGATATCCTTTTATACTAAAGTTAATTTTTAAAATCATAAGATATAACGTCATGATCAGAGATGAACATTAAATTTTATATAACTTTAAAAATTTTATAAGTATAAAAATATAAAAAAACATATTATCAATATAAAAATAAATAAAATTAAAATATAAGATAATTTAAAATTTTCAGGGACGACTGACTTTCGTCGTCTCCTCTCAGTTTAACCCTGATGACGAATGTTTATATATCTTTTAATTATTAGCTCAATTTTAAATTTCGTTCTTAAATATATATTGTCTTTATAAAATTTTTGAAATAAATAACTTATCTTAGTAATGTAAAATACCAAATTCATTTTTTATAGGAGTATTTGATTAGTTTTTTTCTTCTTCTTAGAATTACATTATAACATGACTACAAGAGCACATGTATATAGTCTTCTGAAGGAGTAATTGCATACTCGTTATATAAAAAAACCGTTAAATTTAGTTTAATTAAACGGAATAAAAAAATTTACATACTAATTTTGTAAAAAAATATTAAAATTTTAATTTCTCATTCTTTAATTTTTAAGTCGCATTGTATTATGATATAGTCAAATAGGGACGGAGGTATAAAAGATGTGAATTTTAAAAAATATATAAAAATTTTAAGAGATATAAAATCATAAATTTAAAAAATATAAAATCAAATAACCAAAAAAAATTAAAATATAAGAAAATTGTATCCCTCATGTAGCCAAATAAAACCAAAGCTAAGCCCATAGCATAAACTTTACCTACATTTCATCATTAGAGCATGAAAAGACTGTCACATTACTGGTGACAAAGGCAACAAAAGGGAAAAAAAGTTTCATATTCCCATGTCGCAATTATAGAGGGGGGGGGGGGGGAATTAAAGCAGGACGAAAACGATGGGGCGAAGCGTAACCAAAACGCCACTAATTATTTACACTACAAAAATGGTCAAACAACCGTCACTATCTTCGTCCCCACTGTTAAAGTTTAATCTAACGGCTGATGATTTCCCAACCCCCCGAAATAACAATATCCATTACTCCTTTCTTTTAATTTTGTAATTCTAGTAAAAAGAATTATTGGTTTTTAGTGGCTTGGAATGTTTCGTCAAAGTTTCACGTAATGGCAAAAATTGTCCAAACAAGTTTTGGTCGGTAAAGATTGGTGATTGTGGTATTTATTTTCCATAATTTGATTTGCTAATAAGTATTTGCTTTTATAAACATTGTCAAATAAATTATTATGAAAATTTCAACCAGTTCCATTATCTTTTTGTGACTATTTATTTTGAATGCCCACTCTATATTTTAATTTGCTCTTTTAAGAGGTACATGTGCACTGAAAAATAATAAAGTCTTGTACCTAACGATATTTAAATTATATATAAATTTAAATAAAGATCATACATAAACTATATTTAATAAAACTCAGAATCTAGACACTAAAAATCTTTATTTACATATTATTTTACGTAAAAAGTATTAATTTATATAGTTATACTAAAATATTACACTAACCACGATCCATTCCTCGAAGAAAATACTAGAGTGTACGTGTAGTTTTATATATTATATATAAATTAAAATTGACGATTCTTGAATATATAATTAGGTTCATGTAAAGAGTAATTGAAATCGGTTCTCCTCGATCATATTAAGACAATTTAATTACCTATTATTTGCATAGGTCACACAACCAATAAACTAATGATTTATCTATCTCTATTTTTAATGTGGAATTTAAAAAAATATAGTATTATAATAATATATAAAATATTAATTGATATAATTTTAATTAATATAATTTTACAGAAATTGTACGAATATAATCTTAACGTAACAACATGAAAAAAAATGAGAAGATAAAATTAATTAATGATGTTGGAATTAATTTAAGGGTAGATGGAGAATCTAAAGTTGAACAACAATAATTATCTCTTCTTTCTTATCACACAATAATTATCAAAATTATCAACTTTGAAGGAGACGTCAATGTTGCCAGCCGGTTGGATTTGTAGCCTCTTATTTTTTTTTTCTTCAACCCCACCAATTATTTAATTCCGACGAGCCACTTTCCCCTTATTACGAAAACACCCTCAAAGCCTCGAACCACTAATTTTTCAAATATCTAAGATCAAACTTGAAAACGAAAAAAAAGAAAGAACAGTGCCTGAAATATATGAATATCGAAAATTTCTCTGGAAAACCTCCGAGTTAGAATTACACGATTGGTAATGATCCTCTTGATCATATATCACAGTGGGAAAAAGTAGAACAAAACTTATAGGAAAATATATTTAAAAAAGGACATTTTTTCTAATAAATGAAAATATGATGATTCCAAAATTTCTCACTCATCTGCCATAATTTAATCTTGGAACCCGGTTTTTTCAAAAATTGCATTTCTGACCCTCCTCAGATCTCTTCCTTTCAAGGTCCTCCCTATCCCTTCGTGAACAGAGAACGATGCGATCCTCGTCCTCGCCATTTGCTTCGCCAAAAACTCGTGAGGAGGAATCCGCCCTCCTCCTTCCGACCAATCATCGCCTTCCACGTCATTATCGTCGCTCTCCGATCTCCTCCGATTATCACGGTACTCTTCCTTCAAAATCTTAGACCAGTCGGGTATGTTGACCGGTAGCGACGACGGCGCCCCTCCGACGACGGGATCCCCTCCACCGCGCTTAGTCGACGGCTTCTTCGCTACTCGACTGGTGGAACGGAAGTCGGGCGAGACGGGGCGAGTGGAGACACCGTTGTTGTAAATATCTGACTCGTCTAACTCGAATGCCGCCGAGTCGTGACTCAGCGCTGCTTGCAGTTGTTGATCGCTCGACAGGAATCGGTAGTTAGGTCTCGAGTAATAGCTTTTGCTGCTCGCCATAAAAAAAAACTAGAAATTTTTTTCCTTCTATTCCCTCTACTCTCTTCAAATATTCTCTCTTCTTTCTTTTTTGGTTCTGAGTTTCCTCTTTGGATTTCTGATCATTTCGATCTCATTTTATAAAGGTTGGCTTCCATACTGGATAAGGCTGGGTCGCTCAACTTAAAATTAAAAAATAAATTAATATACAGCTCATAAAATTACAAAAACATCCCGTAATTTTAATGAAATTCCACGCAGGATTCCCCGTTACTAATCTAATCTCGCAAGTGGAATTTGAAAATAAAACCGATTCTCGAGATTTCACGTTTAAGGTTTTGATGTATAATTAATTCTAGCGATGTATTGTGATTTGCCAGTTGAGTTAATTATTTTTTTAATACACGAATATAGTAATTAATCGTAATTATAAAGGTTAGTACAATTATTGATCCTTTTAATATTTTATATCAAATTTATAAATTATGACTACTAACTTATAATGATTTTATTTTATGAGTAGGTTAGTGAAATTTTCGACGGAATATATTAACTGTGTCAAAAAGCGAATGGATTTTTAATATATTTAAAAAAATTAATACATAAATAAAAAGTTTTAATGTAAATTTCGTTTCAATTGCATATCGATACGGTTGGTAGGTTCTGATCGGGTGTTTCGTGTTCCACGTTTTCACAAGTATTCCTCCAACTGGACCGTTGAAAGTGGATAAACTCGACATGATTCGTTGAAGTATTTGACAATTTTTTTGGGTCACTAAATTGTTTTTATCCAAATTAACTGTAAAGCTAGATTATTTCCTTTAACAACCGGGGTTTTAACCCGAGAAGTTTCAATAAGGACACGTGAATAAAAGAAAACCATAGATGACCTCCACGTGGAATGGTAACTTGTTCGCACAACTCAATAATGAGTGACAAAATCGGGAGAACCAGTTCGTCTGTTACTTTTTTTTTGTCGTGACGTGAAAATTTTTAGGAGTGGGTTCACCTGACCGGGTTCTAGGATAGAGTACAGATAAAGTGGTCCCTTTTAGACGATCGAGGATTTCGACACGTGTAGATAAGCTGCCCACAATTCACACGTGACTTCCAACCGTTTAGCGTGAGGTAACGAGCGTCATCGCACGTGAAGTGGGGCCCCCTCCAAATATTTTTAATTTTTCTAATCTCGATCGCGCGTTTGCTTGCAGGCTGGCTCGATCATCGGACATTTCCAGGACGCATCGCTAAACGAGAGAATTTTGGATTGGAGAATGGTGAGATTGGTTGAAAGACCTGTTCTCCTTTTGGCCGCTGCGTGGAGTTTATGATGGGTTGAATTCTGAACTGAATTCAACTTCACGTTTTGCTTGTGAAATTCAATTTATTTGTTAAATAATTCACAGCCCTTTTTAAAGGGTAAACTACAAGTTTACTATCACAAATATAATTTTTATTATGTTTTGATCATTTAACAGTTATTTTCTTCAAAATTATATATAACAGTTATTTTTTATCATTTTATTTTATTTTTGTAAACTAAGATGGTATTTGAAGAAAAAAACAATGATGACATAAGATTACTTTATAATAACACATTAACATCATCGTTAATTTTTCAACGACGGATGATCAAATGAAATCAAATAAATTTTAAAAGAAAATTTTTATAAATAATATTTCGTGTCATGTTGAAATAGAATTCGAAGTTTTATTTTTTTTCAATAAACAAATTTAGAAGGAAAAAGTTAAATAAAACCATATTTGAAACGAATCAAAAGAATAGAAAGTATAAGAATGATGACAGAGTCTACAAAGAATAATTCTTGGATTATTCCGATGGCAATGAATTTAAAGCCCTTGGAGAGTCATATTTGTAAGAAGAGGTAAACGGTATTCACGTTTTAATTGATCTCAAGTGATCAACCCAAAGTTTATTCACACTTAAACTATGACATTGACCTGCCTGATCATCTTATCTGAATTTTATGAGCTTTGAAGAGATATGATCTAATATAATGATGATTCCTTATAAATTTAAAGATATTTATATCTTTATTTTATTTTTAATTAAGTTTCTTATTTTATATAATAAAAATGATTATATATATATTTAAATCAAATTGGATCGAGTCAAATATAGATTTTTATCTATAAATTTAAATCATGTTTCGAGTCTGGTCAAATACAAATGAAGAAATTTAATTTTTAAATTCGATTCAAGTGGGCTAAAAATCTTATTTGACCTATAACCATGCTTATACATGACACCATGTCATCATAATGAAAGTATCATCGAATGATTATGACCTAAACTTTAGGTCGCTGCATAAATTTCATATGAATTTAAATTTTATATGTTATAATAAGATAATTTATTTTACGGGCACGGAAATTAATCTCCAATAACACCAAAGCTTAATTTCATTAAATTAAATTACTAAACTTCATATTCTGAAAAAAAAAATCACTACTAATCCACCAAATAGTAACCCAAAAAATAACACCACATACTCCGGGCGCACGTTAGCAGGACTGATGGGCTCTTGGATGTGCTTCTCGTTTGCTAATTTCTGCTTCTTGTTTGCAAATCTTGTGTGTTTTCGTCTCAATTTTGTTTCAATTTTGATGGAATCGTTGGCTTCTGCTCTCGATTGGTGGAAACTTTTCAATGGTACGAAGGAGCATGCCCTAGATTTCTTTCCGCCTGAAGTTTCGGAGGGAACTGCTACTGTCAAGCCTCCGTCTGCTGTTTTTGAGGAGGGGATCGCTGAATGGAGTTGTGCTGTGGTAGGTCAATTTATTGGTTCTCCTCCTAATTTTGGATCCATGTAGAGGATTGCTGAGATTCTCAGGGGGAAGCTGTCTTCGGTCAAGGTGAGCTTAGCTGGTCCCAACCTCTATGTATTTACATTTTCGAATACTGAAATGAGGGATTGGGTTCTGGAGAATGGCCCTTGGCACTATAACACCCCCAACCCGTACCTGACCCGGATACGAGTATGAGGTGTCACATTGACTCCTCAAAACATTTACTTATATAAAATACCCAAGATTCAGTTTGATATTTCTAATAAAACCATTTACTTTCTATGATATAAAACATATGGTTTTACAAAACTGATCAGAGCGTATCTAATACAAATCTTTTAACTACATGCCAACTAGATTATATATAACAAAATACATGTTATTCATTTATGTTCTGATCTGACCTTCAGTAAAGAGAAACTAACCTGTCTTGCTCCTCATAGCTTATCTTCCTACTTTCCTGAACCTACGTGTGAAACACTCACAAGCTAAGTCATAGACTTAGTAAGACATATAAATCCATATGTAAATTATTAAATGCATGTACATATCATGTAATACAACGTCATACTTGTATACATACTTTTTCATGTAACAATTACATACACACATGCATGTCATCATTTATATTTCCTCATACTCTTATATGATTATCCTTTCTATCTCTTATCTCTTGTTCATATGATCTCTTATTTCATATTCTATATCCTATAACATGTTCTTACATCATCATATGAGTCATTGATATTCATATATATATATATATATATATATTAACATATATTCATGTACATCACATAACAAATGCCATAACCCATAACACACATTCTTTCTTGTAACACATACACACATTCACATATCCTCATATAAAACATGTAACACATTTCTCATTACAACTCACATTTTATTGTTATCATTTTTGGTTAGCCCATGCACACTACTGAGAACTTAAGGTATGTGAGTACATAGAGGTTGTGCACAATGCTGTCACCACAGCTCGTATAAATCCCACTAGGGCTCGTAGAATTTATCCCATAGGACCACTATGTCCCGAAGGACCACTGTGTCCCGAAGAACCATTATGTCCCGAAGGACCATTATGTCCCGAAGGACCACGTGTCCCGAAGGACCATTATGTCCCGAAGGACCACTATATCTCGAAGGACCACGTAGACCCTCGACTCTTGGCATGCCAACTATACCTATAGCTCTCTTATTATATAACATGGGCATTATTATTCATCTTTTTACATGTTCAAGTAGGCACATAGTTCGCTTTCACATAACATATTTCCATGTAATTCACATTCACTTATCACATAACTTTTCACTTTTACTTGTATTATTTTTCACATAGCTCATAGTTATGATTCTTATCTCAGAACACATGTTCACATATACATATATTCTACAGTGCATTGAAACATATCAATATCCAATTGATATATTCTAATCTATCATTTCTTAGACCAAAAGAAATGTCTATTTCAATTTCCCCTTGAAGTGCATCGATGCATTCTTTAACATGTACATCGATGCATTCTTTAACATATGCATTGATGCACTACCCATACATCGATACATAAATTACCTTCGATGTTTTCAATATAAGGGGATGCATCGATGCACTCCTTATGCATCGATGCACCAATTGCATTCGATGTTTCTTCTTTAAAGAGTGCATCGATGCACATTGAATGTGCATCGATACACCTTGCCCAGAATTTGCATTTTAAGCCCGAAAATCATCAATTCTTCATTCAATTCTTCTATTTTAAGCCCCTATTATGTCATTAAATTCAACTACCATTACTTAAACCAACTTATATCCATGTAAACCATCTTTATCTTCCATATCTCATCATGATTCTTAAGATTTAAGAATCTTACTAAACTTTCAACTTTGTTATTAATCCTTATTAACTTCATATATCTCTTATTCTTACTGATGACAAGTCAAATTCCTTCTCAAATTTCACTTATTAACTATTTTCCAGAAATTCATCTAAAAACTCATTTTCTTTAATTTATTCTATATCTTTCATCTTGTTGTTTTAGAACACATTAAGCTTTCCTTAAGCTTAATTATCATCTAATGATCATAACCCAACCTTAAAATCAATAATTAATCAACAAACAAAGAAACTCACCTTTGAGTCAAGCCTTCACGTATGAAGAAGGAAGAAGAGAAGAGAAGAGAACTCTGGAACATTTTTTCTCTTCCCAGATGATTTCCTTATCTTATAAGGAAAATAAAAATCTTCCTTGTCAAATGACCTTTTTGCCCTTCAGTTCA